CACATGTTCTTAGTGAATCCTTACACAATCCTTATAGATGAAAAAGGATTTTTTTTAACAGAAAATAAAATAAATGATGATTGAAATTAGAGAATGAGAACCAGTAAACAACAGATCAAGCAATCAATACATATTAAATAGCATGTGCAAACAATACCCCAACAACATCAGACTACTTATAGTAGAAAAATTAACAGTTGCATTTGCTTTTGGCAGGATAGTTCCCATAACCGAGAAGGAGATACCACAGATCTAATAAATACTATGTGTCATATGGTGGAGGAGCTACCTACCAGTGTGATGTACTACTGAGATTACGTGCTGACAGGTATATTATTATGTCATCATGTTAAAAAAAATCATTGCCTTATGAACACTATATTAGTTTTCTATTGATGCAAAATAACATTAGAAACATAATAGCATTTTAAAATGTAATGATTTAGAGTAATGTCAAATAAAAGGGGGAAGGTCTAGAAAGGGAATAGAAAGGGAATTCAAAAGTAGACAAGCTGCTTAGTATATACAAAGCCCTACAATCAGGAGTAAAATTTAAAAAAAAATCAAAGTGATGGTAATTTATTCTGGCTTATGGTTTCTGGATGCTCAAGGAGAAATTCATTTCCTTTTTCATCCAGGTGTTAGTATAATTTGATCCTTGAGGAAGTCTTTCTGTCCAATTGGATATCATCTGAGAGTCTTCCATCTCAAAACCTATAATGAAATATTTTGTATTTCAAAAGTTGCAATCCCTCTGATTTTTTGTCTTTTGTTTTTTCTCTTTCACTTTTAGGGAGTAGTGTAGTTAAGCTTCATTCCCCCAGGATAATCTTTATTTTTCAACATCCTTAACATGAATTGTATTTGAAAATACCCTTTATCATTAATGCATCGTAATCTCTTAAACTATAAATAATTATTTCTTTAAAATGTAACCTAACATACAGAATTTATATAGTACGATTGCCTCAGGAAAAGCATTGCACTATCTTTTAACTCTTTTTTCTCTTCTTTGAATGTCATGCTATCCTTTATTTATGTCTAAAACTCATTTCCCACTGACTGTAGATTACAATCAGAATTTGAGGCCAATTTTCTCTAGGTACAGACTTTGAAAGTGCTTTCTTAGCAGTCACTGAGTAATGACTGTGGTTTGCCATGTGGGAAATAGACCTGGGCTTGTTCCCATTTCCACATACCCCCAAAAACTAGTTAGCTTTTGCACATACATCAGTTTGAGCTTGGCGAAAATAAAAGAAAGGAAATAGACAGAAAATACAAAAAGAAAAATGAAAAATCATACTTTAGAATCTTTCACATTTGCACTAAATTTGATTATAACATAAATAAATACTAATACAATAAATTATGTTTGACTATCTACTTAATTTCTAATAAAAGAATGATACAATCTTCTGATTTCTGACTGATATTCCCAAAGTAATAGGAATTGAGAGCAAATGTCTAAATAGTCTATAGTGATACTCTAAACACATCAATGTGAAAAAATACAGTAGACAAATCACTTTTGTATCTACTATCCATGCATAATGGATCATTTTATCAAGGAATTTTATAGGAAGAATTTGATAGGAGTAGGAAGCATTATGACATTTTCCTCCATTCCTCAGTCTGAGAAGGACCCACTCTTATTACTTGCTTTAATAAAAAATACCCTGACAAAAGTAACTTAACGGAGAAAAGCTTTAGTCTGGCTCATAGTTAAAGGTTCCAATCCATCCTGATAAGGAAATCAAAGTAACAAGAGCTTGAAGCACCTAGTTACATCACATACAAAATTAGGAAGCAAGAAGCAATGAAAACACATTGCTGCTTTTTTTCTCCTCAATTTATACAGTTCAGGATGTCTCTGTCCAGGGATTTTGGTAGAGAGGTCTTCTCACTGCAATTAAACTGCAATCAAAATAATCCTCTACAGGAATGCATAGCACCTCACAGAAGATGCTAGACTGTCAAATTGATAATCTACACTAACCACTACTAATGAAAATAATTATCCACTTTTACTGAGTTGCCAGTTTTGGTAAACTTTCTCTTTAATACTTCTGGAGCAAAACACCAGAGTTTTGAACAAAGCTGATGTTTCCCTAGGTAGCTACAAATACATGAAGATACTTGAAAAAGTATGAAGTCAAGAGTCATAACAACTCTATGTGAAAAAGCCTTGAAAAACAGACATACACAAGTAACATTATACAGTAGATACACACGCACACGTACACGCACACGCACATGTATACACACAGGCACATAACAGACCGTGAATTTGAGAGTGAGCAAGTAGTGGTTAGTAGTAAGAAAGGGGAGGGATCTTCATTATGATGGACTAGATCTTTGAACTATGAGACAGAATAAACCCTTTCTTAAGTTGTTTTTGAGAGGTATTTTCAACACAGGAACAGAAAAGTAACTAAGACAATGAGTCTCCTGGGGAACTCTAAAACTTGGACTGAGGAATGGAGTGAAATATAGTAACTATAATCTCAGAAAAGTTATCAAAAACTCTTATAACTATTAGTATTAAAATAATAAGAAATGAAATAAACCACTATGAACAACAAAAGGTCAATTGAATCTGGGTGGGGTGGCACATGCTTTCAATCGCAGCATCCAGGTGGCAGCAGAAGGTTGATCTCTGTGAGTTCCTGGCTAGCCTAGTCTACTTATTGAGACCTTGTCTCAAAATAACACACAAACAAAAAATGGTAATTACCTTCTATAATTTGGAAAGTGAGGTTTTTTAAATTTAATTCGTACATGACTACTACATCTAAATCACTTGCAACCTTCCCTCTCCTTCCTTCAACTCTTTGCCTCCTCCCAAATTCATTATTTTATAGATTATATGTATATTAAACATATTATTCCTTAGATGCTTTACTTTCTGTTTTTTCAACTGGCTTTCCTCTCATTAGCCCCCTTTGAGAACCTCATGTAGTTTTACCTCTATATTCATGTCATGCACATAAGTATTTTAACAGTCAAGTAAATGACTATATCCTAGGGACTAATCCTAAATTTTGCTGTGGCTTAGCATGATAAGAGTTTCTAATTTTTGTACTCATTTCTAAATCAAACAGCCAGGTAGATGTTCTGAATCCTGAAATGATCCCACTTGAACACATGACTTTCTCAATTGCCATCAGGAAGGAAGCACAATATGTCCTGATGCGACCTTTTGCATCTTGTTCAGTTATAAAGGGTCTTACTACTTGGAAGAGACATAAAAATACTTTGAAAAAAATGTATAAGGGATGGAACATTTCTAAAAGTACCTAAATATTGAATAATGATATAATTTAAGATGGGTACATTGAAAATCTATATTTCTTACTAAGGAATTTTACTCATTTTCTGAAAGATCTTATATCCAGACAACAGTGTTTTCAGATAGCTTAAATGGGTTGCTTTATCTAGAAGAGCAGTACTTAGGACACCGTGGGTAATTCATGAGTCTCTAGATATTCTCTCCTTTTGGGGAAGTTATTTTAGAACTTCTTGCCTGGTTTGACAACTGAACAGAGAATAGACACCAAATAGCACTACTGAAATGATAGGGATGACTGCTAGTACACATAAGTAGGGTATATTATATACATATGTGTATGTGTGGAAAAATGGACCTAATTCAAAAGAGAAATGTCATTTATATCATCCTCTACTCCCATACTGGGAGGTGTAACAGCTATGGAGATTGCTGTAAGCCATTTATAGTTATTTTTTATATATATATTAAGAAGGGGGGACCTGTGGGAGCCCGTTCTGGGGTTCCTCGTGGCTTTACCCAGCAGGTCCGAATAGAGAATGATCAGGACCACGGGCCTGAGTGCAGGTGTCTGAGATGGCCTGCACTTGGCTGTGCTGGGGGAGGAGGTCTTTTGCTCCACCCCTTGGCGTCTCTATAAAAACCCTGGACCAGAGACAGTCAGGGCCCGTTGGAATAGGTTCCAGGCCCTCTCGAGGCTATCCTTTATTTTCTATCTGTTTATCTCCACAAGATTCTCCGCTATAAATCCTTCTATCTAATATTTCCTGCTGCTCACACTCAAGAAAACTCTGGGAAGCTGTGGGGGTGGTGGGTAAACGCCCCACAACAAAAGAATGAAGTTTCTAAGAATCTTAAAAATGTATGTCTACAACTGGTACTGTATCACTTTTACTCTATTGGATAAGCTTCGTCACAAAGGCAGTCATTATTCATTGTGGAAATAAGAACCAAAGACTGTAACACAAAGAACCATGGTTTATTAGAGGCTATCTGAAACAACTTATCTTGGTTACTTGTCATAACAGTTCATTAAATGTTCAAGTTCTCAGGCTAATGAGATGGCTCACTGAGCAAAGGTATTTGCCACCAAAATTGAATATCTGAGTTCTATTCTTAAAACAAACATTGTGGAATGTGAAAACCAACTCCTAAAAGTTGTCCTCTGGCCTACACATGTGTGGTATGGCAGACATGCATCCTCCCTGACATACACATAAATAAATATATATGTAGTAAATTTTATTTGAAGACTTAGAGCTCTGCCACTACTGTGAGCTGATAAGTTACAGATCAATATGTTCTGGATTCAAGGCTTTAGTGCTTGAAGGATGAAAATAGTCATCCAAAGAATCATGATATATAATTCTTCAAGAGGAGCAGTATAGAGCATGATATATATCTAGTACTTTCACAAGATTTTGTATTTTAATCATAAAATCATGAAATTTGCAGAAGAGTTCCTTGTTCACCCATAATCAGAGAAGCTTCAGGGACAAATACAGGGGCCCACAGAAAGACAATGTCCAGAGAATGAGGGACCTTGGAACACTCAGTCCAAATTGAGATGTCTTCATCTAATTCCTTACCTCAGGGTTCAGGGAGCCCCATGAAAAAGGAGGCAGGAAGAGTGTAAGAGTCAGAGGGGATGAAGGACACCGAGGAAACAAGACCTTCTAAACACAGCATAAGTGATGCACGTATGAACTCACAGAGATTAAGGCAACATGTGCAAGGCAGCCATTGGAACCGGGGCCCGGCCCTCCGGAGCGGGCGGGGGGCGGCGGGGCGGCCCGCTGGGTCTGGCTCAATGTGGGCGGCACCTACTTCGTGACCACCAGGCAGACCCTAGGCCGGGAGCCCAAGTCCTTCCTCTGCCGCCTGTGCTGCCAGGAGGACCTGGAGCTGGACTTGGACAAGGATGAGACTGGAGCGTATCTGATTGACCGAGACCCCACCTACTTTGGTCCTATCCTGAACTACCTCCGACATGGAAAGCTTATCATTACCAAGGAGCTGGCAGAAGAAGGTGTGCTGGAGGAAGCAGAGTTTTACAATATCGCATCTCTCGTGTGGCTGGTTAAGGAAAGGATACGAGACAATGAGAACAGAACTTCACAAGGCCCCGTGAAGCACGTGTACAGGGTCCTGCAGTGTCAAGAGGAAGAGCTCACTCAGATGGTCTCCACCATGTCTGATGGCTGGAAATTCGAACAGCTGATCAGCATTGGCTCCTCCTATAACTATGGAAATGAAGACCAGGCAGAATTCCTTTGTGTTGTCTCCAGAGAACTAAATAATTCTACCAACGGCATCGTCATAGAGCCAAGCGAAAAGGCCAAGATTCTTCAGGAGAGAGGCTCGCGGATGTAAACGGAGAATCTGAAGTTCCAGAACCCTGAAGGCAAGAGAGCGATCGACTGAGCAGCTGTGAAGGGAATCCTGCACCTGTACAGTAACTGAGCTACTGCAGAGCCAAGCTGCAAAGCCTGGTCCCGGAGAAGTGGTGTCCGCTGAGACCAGAGGAGCCCCACCCGCCTCGGACGGAGACGACAGTCCGCCTCTGGCTGCACGGCCCCTTTTCAGAAACCTACTTTTGTTTTCTAGCCAGTGTTATGACAGACCTTCACAACAGCATCTAGGATGGGGAAAAAAAAAAAAGGGTCTGCACCAGATGGGTCCTAGAGCTGAGATGAGAAGTGGACAAAATCCCTCATCCCTCACCCAGAAGCAATTTCCAATGGATAACCATTTACAAATAAAAATTAGTTTTCTCCAAGGGAGACTCACTGGGGAAACCAACCACTCTCAAGGGTAGGTCCTATGCCCAGCATTAGACGATCAACACAAAACTATCTCTACAGCATCTTTGAAGGTCCTTTGTCTCATAATGTTGTATCAGGACATTTTTCTTTTTACTTTAAAGGTTCTTTGTATAAGTATTATGGATTCTGGTTTTATGCTTTTATAAGGATTGCTGTGTGTACAAACTTGTGTGTCTCTATATCTATGTGCCTCTGGTGCTTTTACTTTGGGTCTTTTCCTCCTAATTTGTTTTGTTTTATCTCATTTTATTATTATTTCTTCAATGCCTTTTTTCTAAGGACATAGAGAAAAGGTTTAGATCCAGATGGAAGGGAGGTCGGGAGAAACTGGGGGTGGGAAGTTGAGGAGGAACCATAATCAGAATATATTCTATAAAATATATTTCAATAAATGAAATAATAAAGAAAATGTAGAGATGTGAAGTCAAGCAAAAATGTTTTAGTGAGAGCAAATTATAGCATTGTGTTCATTATCTGAATAAGGGGCTTCCTTGACACTAAATTTGAAAGTCTAAGTCAAAATAAGTGAAAAATTCAAAAATACTGTTCTCTGTGGCATCACAGAATTCTAGTTTCAGGTTCCCTGCTTAGTTAACATGTTCTTCCATCTCCCTTCAGTCTAAGTTGTTCAAAATTTCTGCTCATCAAAGTAACAAATTGATATTTGAGGATATAAGCACTGAGATCACTGAAGAGTTCAATCTTCAGACACAACTTAGGAGTAAGAGCAGGTCAAACAAAAAATCTGGCACTGTACTCAGTTGGAAATACCTACTGCATGAGACCGTTATTATAACTGTTTTTAGTATAACTTTTTATTGAAACTTTCCCATTGCTGTAATCAAAAGAATATATATGGCCAATTAGGATCCATTTGACAGAATTAAAATAAGGTTTCAATGAATATTGCATATATGATTATAAGTTGAAATCTTTAACTTATAGTGAAGCACAGCATACTTATTCCAGCTTTATGTGAAGGTGAAATGCTGAGACTGTAAGGAGGACATGGAACTATTGTCATATTCTGATTATATATATATATATATATATATATATATATATATGACATCATCGAGAAAGTATACTTTGATGAGAATAAGTATTAAGAGATAAAGCGCTTGAAGAAATTGTGCTGCTTAAGTGAATATTACAATAATCATGTCCAAAGATTATGGAAGGATGGATTGGAGATAAAGGTAGCTTGATATCTGTGAACATAAGGAGCAAAGGTAACGTTTAATATGTACTCTGAAATTCTAAGTAGATTTAGTGAGTATACTATGGAAAAGGTGAGACAAAAATAATCTTTCATCTCTATTTGAGAGCTGATAAAAGTTAAAGGAAGAGATAATGATTACTACTACAGAGAAGACTGTTAGGTTGCATGGATCACATAGGATAATACTTTTGAGGTGGTGAGACTATTATAGTTGAAATCCAGAAAAAAAGAGGAATGAGACTTTTGTAGCTATTACTAGTCTAGGACCTGCCTGTCTTTCCTCTTGTCATATACAATGCCATGAGTGTTTAAATCCCCCATATTGGTGTCTTGATATCTTAATCTCAAAATAATGAGATTAGGTGGAAGTATCTTTAAAATATCATAAGTCTTATGGATGTATTCCACAAATTAATGGCTTTATTAATAGGTCTCAAGAAGCTTCCTCTCTACAATTTATAAGGCATGGTCAACAGTCACCACATCTGATGAATGGGGTTTCACTGAATACTGAATCTTCTAGGACCTTGATCTTGGAACTCATAGCTAGCTTTGGGGAAAAACGAAAATCAGTTCCTGTTGCATATAAGCCAAACAGTTTGCATTTTACTATGGAAGTTACAGAAAAGACATGGTCACAGTTTGAAGGTAGGGGCAGAGGAAAATTATCCAGAAGCCTCAGATAACTGAGGACTTCTCTGAAAACAGTTAAGATTAGTGGTTCTCAACCTGTGGGTCATGACCCTTTAGGGTGATACATATCAGATATCACATTGCAATTCATAACAGTAGCAAAACTACAGTTATGAAATAGCCATGGAATAATTTTATGGTTGGGAGTCACCACAACACGAGGAACTATATTAAAGTATTTCAGCATTAGGAAATTTGAAAGCCACTGGTTTAGTCATAAATTCTTCCTTTTCTATCATTTTAAGATATATTAATGACTTGTTATTAAAGAGATAGAAACTTGCTAAATTCTTTCTAGAACATAGACTAGAAATATTTGGAATATTTTTAATAAATGATGAACTAACACTACAAAATTGTGTTAAACTATTTTTAAATGGCATGTATTAATATACTCAACCACAGAATCTATCCTAGTTTTCCTTTTGTTGCTCTGATAAAAACCATGACCAACAGCAACTTAGAAACGAAAGAGTTTATTTCAGTCTACTCTTCTAGGTCACAGTTCATCACTGAGGGAAGTCAAGACAGAAATTTAAGTTTGCTACAGGTCCCTACTTATAAATCAAGAAAAAAAATTAAGACTCAAGGAAAGATATCCCTTGTAAAAAATGATTTCATATGACATTACACTCTAATAACAAAACAATATTATCTGTTATTTTAAAATCACACTTAGAGGGTTTTACTGTAAGTAAAGCATAAACTACAGTTATCCATGATTTAATTATGTTTATATTTGACAAAATAAAATATAATTCACAGATCAACACAGGTATGCTTAGCACTTTTGTCAGGCTAGCATCTGTATGAATATGTTTCATAAGTTCAGTTGACCTTCCGAATGGCTTGTCCAGATACAAAATAAAGATTATGCCAATATAGAACTTCTGTTACTTTTGCTTTGAAAATTGTCTCCATGAATGAAACGGGTACTACAGATAACACTCCTTGTGCTTCCAATTCACCTACTGTACACTTCAATATCAATAACTCATAATCTGTGAGTTGGAAAACTTTAAACAAACAGCCAGGCAATAAATGTTTACAGCTTGGTGGACAAAATGATCGCTGTATTTGCACTGTGATATTAGCCATAGAAAATACATTACATACATGCGAACTATATTCCAATAAAACTTGATTAATAAAATCTGTAGCAATCCAAATGTAGACTGTGAACCACAGTTTGCAATCCATTATTCTGTGGTAATTTATCTCTTCTAGTAATTTTATTAGGCATAATTACAGGTTTATATTTTTATTTTCATATGTTGTGTTATGTAAACCATAGTAGGTATATAATAAATGCTAGACACAATATTGATTCTCATGAGAATTGTTCTATTTTTGTTATGACTGATTATACTACAATAGTGTTCAGAATGTTATTAAGTATTTTAAACAAATTCTGAAGTCCAGTCATGAAATAAAAATAATGCTTATTGGCATTTTAATAATAAATATTTACAATGACACCATCTTTCTTTTAATGAAATAATGTTCATTATTTTATTTATCTATAGGAGTAAGAGTTCCACTCAGGTCCTGTGCATTACAGGCAAAGTGTTCTACTATAGGCTTGTATCCCCAGCCCAATATCTTCATTTCCTTAAAAGTGAAGACCAGTGAGAAAGCATAAAGTATAGAAGTACTTAACCATGAGCCTGAAGACTTAAGTTTTATCCCCATAACACACAAAGTGGAAGGAAAGAGCCAACTCCAGAGAGATATTCCCTGACCTGTATATGTACACACATATACAAACACACACACACACACACACACACACACACACACACACACACACACACACTTGATAGATAGATAGATAGATAGATAGATAGATAGATAGATAGATAGATAAATGAAATTTTTAAAACATGAGAGTTATGTTAGGAATTTAGATATTCATGAAATTGTGCATGTCTCATGTCTATTAGTAAGAAAATTCCATATTCTAGTCCAGTTTTTTTCTTGCAAGAATTGATGTATGTACATTGGTTTATTAGAAACAGCTTATAAGATGACTTTTTAAGTGCATATTGAATCTACCAAGCATCTTAGTACTAACATATGTGGTGAAAACAATATTGGAGCTGTTTTCTTAGTCTCAAAATAGAGGGGGAAATTCTACACACTTTTTTCTCCTGGTTATCAACTTATACACTGTGTTTTTATAGTTGACAATATAAATCCCATGCTTTAAAAATGGCACATCAGAAACTGCAGAGAAGTAGAGCTGGAACCCTTCTTGGGCTTAGCCTTGAGTTTTCTCCACTTTTGAACATTCATATACATGAGTCAATTTGAGACAGATTGAAATGACTTGTGGATTCTTGGCCCCTTCTTTCTTTGTTCATTCTTTCTTCAATAGATTGCCTCACCTTGGTTTCTGCCATCCTTCCTCATTTAGCATAGTATTAAATTCTCCCATAACCTTGCTTTCTTAGTAGTATCTTTCATATGATTCCTAGAAATAATTAGTATAACAATATCTAGGTCTAGTATTTATAGCACAAATTTAGTCATTTTTATTTCTGAATTTTATACTTTTGTTAGTTCAAAAAGCATACTGGTAATCTATTTATGCAACAATAATGTTTACTATTACCCAAAACAGAAAATGGCTTACAATGTATATCATCTACCCATGTCAATGCATTTTCATTAAGCTCAGATGAGCTTCACTTCAAATTACAGGGTAAGTTTTGATCTGCTTTTCACGTGTTTTGACACACTCTTGACCTAAAAGTAGAGTTACCCAATCATTGATGCCATATTAGCATTGAAGAATAAGCAACAAAGAAAGTAAATAGTAAATGGTAAGAAAGTTAAATTCTATAATATTTCTAGTACTCATTCATAATCCAATTTCTTGACTTAGCTAAACACAAACTCCAGTTACATTATATTGCTTTA